GTCGTCTACAAACACTTGTTGAAGCGCCCAGCTTGTCCTGGTTTGTGTGGGACTTTTCCTGGATTTGGCACCAAAAGTCCCACATCCAGGGAAGCCCCTCTGTCCACTGGGATGGCAGGTCACTCTGTGAAGCACCCATGATGTTTCGGGCCTGATTCGAGGTGCTGGGGATGCAGATTTCAATTTTAATTCCTGCCTTCATGGGGCCCATAGACCCAGGAAGACAGATAAATAAAAGTGCCCTGTGGCGTGTAACAGCTGACACGCACTGAGTGCCCTGTGTCCCACATCGCTCTGGGTACTTCCAGCAAGTGGATTCATTTAATCCTCCCAAGAACCTTAGGAGGAAGAAACTGTTGGTGTGCCCATTTTACAGATGGGAAAACTGAGGCACTAAAGTCATGCCTCATGGCTTAGGGGAGCCCGGATGTGAACCCAGGAGGTCTGGCCTTAGTCCCTACACTCTCAACCTCTGTACCATGTAGAGAGGCTGGAAGGAGGAATGAATTCTCCCCGGGGAAGGCCAGAGAGGGCTTCCTGGAGGAGGTGACGGGCAAGCTGGGATGTGATAGGTGATGAAGAGTTTGCCAGACCCATTAGGAAGGAGGCAGATGGGGGGCACAGAGGAAAGAGCACCCCCGGACATGTTTGGGGACATCTGGCGGGAGATGACGTGAGAGACTGTGTGGGCAGTAGGGCACCAGTCTGTCTTGGGAGTCCCCTCTGTCCCCCAGAACGGGGACCGTTGGTCACGCTTGTCCAAAGCATGATAAGGAGCATCAGAAAGACCTGTGCAGACTGGATTTTAAGCAAACGGGCCGCTCGACGGTCTGAGCTAAGGTCAGCGGCCAACTCGGAGGCTCGAATTCAAGGCCCTGGCATGGGCTAGGGAGGTCAGAGATTTCCAGTCACGTCTTTTTCTGTTTATTGAAGTGGAATTCACGTAACATAAAATTAACCATTTTAAACGATTCAGTAGCATTTGGCACATTCGCAGCGTTGTGCGGCCACCCCCTTATCTAGTTCTAGCACATCTTCATCACCCCCCAAAGACCCCCAGCATTCGCTGTCACTCCGTGTCCTCCTGCGTCCCTGGCCACCACTGACTTGCTTTCTCGTTCTGTGAATTTCACACGGATGGAGCCGTTCCATAAGTAGCCTTCTGTGTTTCAGAGGTTCATCCCAGCCATGCCTGGAGCCCTAATGGTCCGCGAGAAAGCTGGCGGTCCGGCCGTCTCCAGGCATCCTGGACTGGGATCCTTTCCTTTGGATTGGGGATTGGAGGCAGAAGAGCAAACCTCCGACCGGCCGGGTTTGGCAAACACCGAATCATGCCCTGCTGCGGGCACGGGAGGCGTCTATAAGGAGCGCGTGGTGAGCGCCTGCAGCTTGCGCTGGTCCAGTCCAGTCCAGAGCAGTCTGGGGCTGTTTGGGAGCAAGTCTGTCGCGGAAAGCAAAGTCCCTCCTGGCGTTTGTTCCTAGCCCCTGGAGTCTCAGGATCATCAGCTCATTCATGTCACTTCAGGGTGCTGGAGGTGGCTGGGTCTGGCAGCTCCTCTGCAGGGCTTACGGGGCTTTCTGCTGTGCCTACAGCAGAGTGACAGTAAAAAACCAAAACGGAGTTGCTCTCAGTTGGCTAGGGCCCCCCAGTGCCCTGGGCCTTTCCTGTTGCCGGGCTTGGAGCAGGCGGCTGCGACATCCCAGCACCGTGCAGGTTGCTTTAAAAATGCAGCTTTGGATGCTCCTAGCATCTCAGGGATTCTGAGCTCTCCTCCTTCCCTCGCTGGTCTCCCCACGGTGAAAGGGGAGCGCCTGTGAACAGCCACGCTTGGCCCCGTTTACTAAGAAGCAGGTCAGTGTGACCTGCAAAGCGCTCAGTGACAAAATGAGTGGGCACCCATAGTTGGCAGGTGTTTTTTTTCATCGTGTCTCGAGCGTGCGGATTAAAGCGTGCGGCGCGCGTGTGGGTGGCGGAGAGGCAGAGAGATAGGTGTCCCCTCGCCAGTTCCCATGTGCTGCTGCCACCGAGGGTCTGGCTTTGTTCACGTGTTGCTGGAGGGGTGAGCCGTGCGAAACGAGGCCGCCGATTGCGGCTGGACTCCGAGCCCAGAGGTGTTTTGGGGAGGCCTAGAGAGCTCCGGAGTCTGCTGGGCAGCGTGGGCTCCAACCCCAGCCCCGCCACTTTCTAGCTGTGTGAATTTGGACAGGCAGCTTAACCTGTCGGGGCCCCATGTTTTCGTCTGTACATTGGGACGATAATGATAATTTCTGTCTCACCCGTGCGAGTTACGTGGGGGTGGTGATGTGTGTACGGGGGTGACCGACAGAGCCCAGTAAGGTTCATCTTGATGCAGCTGGGGCTCGGGGTCGGGCGGGGTCATCGAGAAGGAGACGGGTAGCAGACTTTGCTCAGGCCGAAACCTCCGGACTCCAAACAGATGCACAATTAAGGTTTAAGGAAGCCTGGTGACCTGGTGCCTTGCAGCAC